TTTTGGAGGTCTTTTATGGAACCTAGTAATGAGGGCGGACGTTTAGGGTCCTCCCACCATATCCACCAAAATACTATTGACCAAGAGATACCCAGCTCTGGATATTTTGCTGGGAAAAAAAGTGTCAGCTTGGCAGCCTCATTTTCACCTCGGATTTCCCATATGTCATTATGATGTATACCATATAACAGTGCTTCTCAACTATTATAAGCAAAGGTCCTGTTAAACAAGATCAAATATATGCAGAAGTCCGGATAAATATTTTACATGCAATCATAAAACCACCAATCTGAGTACACCTTGAATACACTTTCAAGAATCCATCACCAGGACATTCATTTTATTTCATTGTACTTTCTCCTATAGCCTGGGATCCCACTACAACACTCAGAAGGTCCGGATTTGGACCACAGGCCGCCATTTGAGGAGCTCTGCCATATATCATGTATCATGATTAGCTGCAAAATAAATATTCAGGAATTCATGAATATCCAGCTGCATAAAGAACATCAAATGTAAAATTTTGTGGTATTTAATTTCTAGATGGTTCCTGTTTCTGCAAACTTTTGAAGTTCCTGGTGAACAAACAAGCATTTAGATAACTTTTTACATTCGAGGACATTATTATATCTATCATAAACATATCAAAATGATGAATCAAAATTTTGATTTTACAGTGAAAGTTTGGTTTGTTAATTTTATTTATGCAAATACTGTAAACAGATGTGTGCTGACAAAAAGAGGAAAAATAAATATTTTATATATGGCATATATACGTAGAGAGTGAGATAAAATCCATTCCATCAGAATGAACTGTTTTTTTTTTTTTTTCTTTCTTTCTTTCTTTCTTTCTTTCTTTCTTTCTTTCTTTAACACATCACATATCACATATCTCACAGTACATGTAATGGGAGTTGGTTCTTACATTCACCCTCCTTGGAACCATCCAGCTAGTTGCTTGATCTGAAACAAACGAACATGTATTTTCTCGTTCAACTGTTCAAATGTTCCTCATAGAAATGCAAAGGCTTAAGGAATAATAATAGTGAAAACTATGATCAGATTTCAACACATGGTAGAAGGCATTCAGAATAACTGAAACAAATTAAACATACTTTTTCATAACTCATCACCAAGTTTTGATTCTGCACTTCCATTGATCTATCTCGCTCTCTCTCTCTCTCACACATGCACACACATTTTTATTTGATTAAGCTGCCATATATAGATTTTTAAAGTGCAGAGCTTTTTCATGGTTTCAGCTATAATTGATTAATGTTGAGTTAAAAGAAAAGTGAAATGCAGCTTCATCTCAATTAGGTGTTAGGTATTACGATAAACAAACAATTCCATGAAATCACAGTTAAAAATATCATTTAGTCATTGATAAGTAATACCATATTTAGTTATTGCTTACTAGGTAGTGAGTAGGTAACTCAAGGTAACATGATCTCATAAACAAAATGAAGGTTACTTACAGATTCATAGGGTGCCATATTTCGGTGTGTGAATTCTTCCAGGCATAGCAGGCAAATGATTTTTGTACAAAATTCACCCTTTATACAAAACAATAGCCAATCATAGTATTACATATCTCCCTCAGGCATTGCCTCAGGACATGTGGTGGGGGCATGAGGTTGCTTATAAAGAATAGCATAAAATGTATTGCACAAATCATTGTATTGTGATGTGAATGACCCATCACCCAGAGCCATGCTCAACTCAACCATGACAGGAATAACATGTCACCCTGAGTCATGACTAAGTCACCCATGATGTGAAACCCACATCATCCAGAGGCTAAGAGTTAATCCATTGTGAATCTCACAGCTTGTGGTTGTTATTTGTATTATCATGCATTGCTAGTGGGCAGGAATAGATACCTATGCTTAGCAGTTTCCTCCTTGGAGAAGGCCTTCTCCTAGACATGATTCATCAGTGGCACACTCCATCCTTATGGACCAGTGGAAGTTCTGCAGGAGCTCATGAATGAGCCTCTTCCTGAAAGCCTACCAAGTTATTCTTCCTCCAAGTGCTGTTTGCACTCCCTGTCACCTGCCTTGACGAGACTTTCCATGTGACCTGCCCCTCGGCTAAAAGTTATCATGACTAGCCATCCATATCATCTGGATCCAATGAGTTAATGTAGTATTGATGAATTTGAACGAATCTTAAAGTGCAAGGAGTTAAGTGCTGTTTTTATAGAATAATAGGTATTTAGAATGATTATCTTTTGAAGAAACTTTAGCCCCAACCAACATGCCAGGCATTGCATGCAGTCAGATAATTGAGTGTAAAATTAGAACAGGAAATATACATTTACCTTGTGGTCTGTGATTTATGTTGTGGCATGCACAATATTTTTGGGGGGGAACTGAAACTAAAGAGAGACATAGGTGCACAAAGGTTTTACAAATCAGTACATAGTTCATATAGAACATGCCCATACATTGACTGTTTCTGGAAATATATATGGACTCCAGTCCAAATTTTAAAGTCTCTCAAGTATTAGATATCATTTTTAGAGCATATCCCACTATTTCACATCTTTTGTTGAAGTTTCTAAGGTGGTATTTACTGCCCAAACCTGCCCATAACATATGTCCTTGTGGTCCCATGTTGTTAAATTATTCAGAAATTCAGATTTTAATATCGTTATTGAATGTTACTATACTTGATGGTATACTGAATACAGGGTTATTTTGCAAGTATGACTAGTGAAACATGAGCTGCTGCTTGTGAGTTGAAATGAGTACCAATATACAATATAGGTTATACCTATACAGCTGTCAAGCCAGTCCCTTTGTACATATAACATGAAATGGATTCATATTGTTGTCATAAAGTCATTTATATAGAAAATTATACAGATTTGCTGTAGCACACTGAAGACATTGAAAGTGTCTACATTTTTCTTCTTCCTTTCTTTTTTTTCTGATCATACACATCAAAGATATCTATAATCACTATCAAGGGATATGTTTTATAGCCTGTTAATTAATTAGCAAAGGGTGATATCCCATCACATCATGGCAAATAACCAATTGCCAGATACCTCATCATTGATGTGCTTAACCCATCACCACTGGGTGAACAGAACTCCCTGAGCATAATAAGCTCTGGTGATTTCTGGTAACAGCCAGACACAGTCTGCGACGCCAAGCCGAATGTCCCGCTCAATGCGCTTTGGCGCATTGCCTTGCGTACAGGCGTGCCCTGTAGACTGAGCGGTTTGTTATAACACTGATACACCTGACCTATCTGGGTCTGGTTAAGTCCTGATTACTGGCATAAGGTTAATGCATGCCTCTCTGTGAGTCAGACAATTGCCCAGGCTTGGAGCATTGCATTGATATATATTGCTTGCAGAACAAACCAACCAGATAATGTCCAATTTTGTGGAATAGATCATAAATATTAAGCAAAACATACCAGTATGTTAATAATTCTCAACTAGAAGCCACTCTCAAAAGTGGAATTAAAAATGTAAAGTAAGGTAATAAATCATTAGAGTTTTATGTCCTCGTTAAATTTTTTTATTATCTTTTACTAAGCCTTTTTGATTTATAAAAGTTTGATACCCACCACACCTGTCCAACTCTGGCTACTCTGTTTTGTTTTTTCCCAGTGTGAGATACTCTGGCTCGGCCTTTCCCAGTACAGGATATCCATAGTGCACCTGGTAGCAAATGCTTTGATAAACTAAACACCATATCATATTTACCATGCCAAAATCTATTCTTTGCAATTCGTACATACCTATCTTGGCTTGAACTTGAGATTTTGATAAACTGAACCATATACTTAAAAGAAAATGGAAATAGGCACACACACACACACACACACACACACACACACACACACACACACACACACACACACACACACACACACACACACACACATATATACACACACACACACACATATACACACACATACACACACATACACACACATATACACACACACATACACACACACATACACACACACATACACACACACACACACATACACACATACACACATACACACACACACACACACACACATATACACACACATACACACACACACACATACACACACACACACACATACACATACACATACACACACATACACACACACACACACACACACACACACACACACACACACACACACACACACACACACACACACACACACACACACACACATACACACCCACACACTTTTTAAATTTTTTTGTTGAACAGAAATGTCTGAATTATTGCTATTGTGGAAGTATGTAGAGGGAAATAGTTATTAGAGCAAGATTTTAAATGAAGAGAATTTTGGGATAACCAGCAGTTGCATGGAGAAGGAAAATGGTTTGAGACATTGAAAAGCACCTATTGACGCATATTTACTTAAACTGTTTTTGTATGTGTGAGCCTTTGTGTATGTATGTATGTTAAAACTTGTAGAACATATAGTCATTGAAATCCTGTTTGAAGATGTAATCTATTATAGCACAAGCAGAAGTGATACATGTGTCCATGAAATGTATATCTGCCAAATCATTATACCAGATAAGTTTGTTTATTTTTTCTGTTATTGTAATTATTTCTGCTTTTAGAAGGGAGAACCTTTGTATCTATCATTACAATAGATAAACCATATACAAAGACTTCTAGGGTTCTGGCAGTAATGTATAAAAAAAAAGTCCTGGAGTTGTATGTAAATCATGCAGTGAATACCACAGGAATAATATGACATAGAACTGATATAATTAGGGGATAGTGCATTATTATTCACGGAAACAGACATACTTTATATGGAAATATAGTTGTAATTTGAATACATTGATATCAGCCATCCATTCATTTCACTTTACAGGTCATTCCTTCCCAGTAATACTTTTGCATGGTTTGTTTATACTAGCATGTTTTAAAGTAAATGATGCCAGAAAACAGTTAAGATATTAATACTTCCTTTTTTCAGTTTTTAATCTTTTAAAATTTTTCTTACAGAGGGAGTAATACGACCAGAAGATGTTCCCGTACAGACTACCCACTGTCTACATTACAACCATACCTTGTGTGACAAGGATGGTGTTCAAGGTTGCTCAGGGATAGAAACCTGCCCAAAATGGCAAGAGCCTGATAAGAAAAATCATTGTTTTGTCCTGTGGACAAACAGCTCAGAGGGAATGGTTAGTAACATTGGTCAGTCATTATTTCTTAAGAATTATGAGCTTATTTTGATATGCAAATATAGGAGTTTCAGCCTTTCTATATTCTCACTGAACTTAGGATTATTTGGAGACTGCTTTGATAAATGTCCTTGGAGCATTAAAGCACAAAATTTATCTAATTTAAGCACAAAGAATATAATATCCTATGATGTAAACCTTTCATTGATATTTGTACATCACATATTTTAGAAATGCATTAATCACTGATAACCAAATTACTCATTAGGGTGCCAGGACATATGGATCTAAAAAAAATATGTATATTCCTTTTGATTAGGTGGAGATTACATTCAAAGGCTGTTGGTCAAATGATCAGAGCTGCATGGATGAGTGTGTCAGCAAACAGGCTGTTAGCAGCTTAAAAGGAGAGAAGAACCACATATTTTGCTGTTGTAATGGTAATAAGTGTAATCGGAACTTTTCTTGGGAACCTGCAGAGGATGTCTCCACCACAAAACCTCGTAAGCATATTCCTTAATATTTTTTTTCCTCTTTCTTTCTTATTCCCTTATGTCTATTTGTGTCTATTTTTATTCAGTTTTGAAAATGTATTAGGCAAAGCAATTTTTGAATTCCATTATCAATGGTTAGAGAATAGGTACTGTGAAAGTACTTGACATATATATATTTTATTTTGTTAAATGTCTTTTCTTTGTTTTGATAAAATTTATTGTGGTTAAGAAAGTCCATGGTCCATATGATTTAAGCTAAGAAATATAATATTCGCAGCCGCAGTTGAAGTGGATAATAAAGATGCAATGGTTCAGACGGTGCTGTGGACGCTGGGCACACTCATCACTCTTGTCGTCATTGTTGCGTTTCTTTTCTACCTCTACCGGCGACGGAAGATGGTCAGTGTATAGAGTTTTACAAGGCTGTTCATTTGTTTTATGAGTCTTACATGAAACAGATTGTTAAAAAATACTCCCTTTTTTTTGTTGTTGTTTAATTTGATGCATATATACTCATGAATTGCACACTAAGGTCTCAGTCTATTTGAGCAGAAAACATTTTTATTTTACACAATTTATGCAGTTATATGTTGATCTATGCCATTCACAGGCCAACTTTTTGGAAATTCCAACTGTTGAGTCAACTGCACTAGCTCCCCCTTCCCCACCCATGGGTCTGAGACCTATACAGCTGCGGGAGATCAAAGCACGTGGGAGATTTGGCGCAGTGTGGAAGGCACAACTTCATTCAGATATTGTTGCTGTGAAAATCTTTCCAGTACAGGTGAGATTTCCCATCAATCTTTCTTTGTTTACTATTTGCTTTGATGAATTTTTAACCCATTCGCGCCGGGTAAAAATGAACAAAAAATGGGGGAAATGCTGTGCTAATTTTTTATATTTTTTAATGAAATTTCTCTACACTAGATGGCTCTGCTTTACCTGATTTCATTTGGCGGGAAAATGTATTTTTATTAGTGCTATGAATATCAATGGTTCTTTTTATTATAAACATTATAATTACTATAATATTATAAACATTAGTAACAGCAAAATAAGATAACGCAAAATAATTTCGTAAATTAAAGAAAAGGGTAAACAGACGAGACAGGCATTACAAGTGCAAGTGGAGCCATCTATGTTTGTAAACAATCAAACAAGTAAACTCACGGTGGGCCCGTCACGTATACGTGATGCCCGGCGCGAATGGGTTAATGTGCCAGTTAATGCTGCCAGTTTTTAGTTTTTAGTTTTTTTTTAGTTTAAAAAATGGGGAAAATGCTGTGACCATCTTTTATATTTTTTTGTAATGTTTCCACATAGATGGCTCTGCTAGTGCTTAGCCACAAAGGAGTCAATTAGTAGACCTTGTGATCTTACCTGATTTGAATTGCTGGGAAAAACATTTTTACTAGTGCTATGAATATCAATAGTGTTATTTTTATTATAAACATTATAATTATTATAATGTTATAAACAATAGTAATAGCAAAATAAGATAACGTAAAATATTTTGTAAATCAAGGAAAAGGGTAAATGGGCGAGACAGGCAGTATTCGTAATTGACTCATTGGTGACTTAGTACAAGTTTAGCCATCCATGTGTAAAAATAATCAAACAAGTAACTCGCATTGGGCATGGCACGTACGTACACATCATGCCCGTTGGCATTGGGTTAATATTGTTGTATTATTCATGTTTTCTTTGATTTCTTCTTGTACCATCTTTGCATTATCAGTTACAAAAGAAAACTTAATATTTAGATATGCTAGATGTGATATAGTCGGATTACTGAATATTAATTTAAGAAATTTGTTCCCTCAAAGAATGGATGTGCTATGCTTGAGTGGCTGTTTTTGTAGTAATGTAGTGTTAGTTCAGTGATTTCTGTTGTTTGCCAGGCAGCTACAATCCTATGCTATTTACAAATTATTTACAAATGTGAGAAATTCTGTTTTTAGAAATCTTGGAAGCCAAATGAATGGCACACAACTCCCGTACCCTCTAGTATGCTTTCATGAAAATGTCATAATCCTCTTGTGAAGCCTCTCATTATAGCTAGAACAGCTGTCATGCATGCTTTGACTCCTAACCAAGATTATTTGATGTGTATATAGTCAAGTTTATATATAAATGAGATTTCGGATATATTGTTATTCTCTTATTATATATGTTTATTATTTTCTCTTTCTCAGGATAAACAGTCATGGCAGGTTGAGAAAGAAGTGTATTCACTCCCCCAAATGTCCCATGAAAACATTTTGCAATTCATTGGAGCTGAAAAGCGGGGGGACAACCTTCAGGCAGAGTATTGGTTGATCACAGCGTACCATGATCGAGGCTCTCTGTGTGACTATCTAAAGGTAGATTATGTTCAGTAAATGAATCAGAGTGGTTTTGATATTTATAGTGGTTATTAAACATTTCTCCTTGTACCCCTCCATTTCTATCTCCATCTCTATACATCCCTTCCTTCCACCTTTTCTCTCTCTCTCTCTCTCTTCTCTCTCTCTCTCTCTCTCTCTCTCTCTCTCTCTCTCTCTCTCTCTCTCTCTCTCTCTCTCTCTCTCTCTCTCTCTCTCTCTCTTTCTCTCTCTCTCTGTCTGTCTGTCTCCCTCCCTCCTTCCCTCCTTCCCTCCCTCTCTCTTTCCCATTTCTTAATGACATATAATTTCCTTGAAAGGCAAACTTGGTAACCTGGGCTGAACTCTGCAAAATTGGAGAGTCTATGGCAAGGGGCCTCATGTATGTACATGAAGAGCAGCAAGCCACGAAGTGTGAAGCGCTGAAACCTTCTATTGCCCATCGAGACTTCAAGAGTAAAAATGTACTTCTGAAGAATGACCTCTCAGCTTGCATTGCTGACTTTGGCCTGGCGCTGGTCTTCCACCCTGGACAGCCAACTGGGGATACTCATGGACAAGTAAGGCCTACTAATAAGTTGCAGATGTGGTACTTATTTAGATTTGGATGCAGTCTTCTCTGTTTTCTTTATTTCTTTGTTATTTGCCTTTTTTCATATTAATATAGGTTATGGAATGAGGACAATTATGAATTGAAAGTCAGTAAGCAGTACATTTCATCTTCCTTTTCGTAGGTTGGAACAAGAAGGTACATGGCGCCAGAGGTACTGGAAGGAGCAATAAACTTCCAGCGTGATGCCTTTTTACGTATCGACATGTATGCTTGCGGTTTAGTGCTTTGGGAGATTCTCTCAAGGTGCTCAAGTAAGTATTATTCTCATGTTTGATTTTGCCAGTAGTAGAACTTAGTGATGTTGATTGTAATTTTCAATTAATCTATGCTTGTTTATGCTACAATCCTCATTTTAACTTATCATACTTAGGATCCATATTAGTGTCTCAGACATGAGACAACTTTGTCAGTAGGCTTGAGAATTGGGCTGAGGGGATTTTTGCATATATGAATAAAAAAATGAAAGAAAGCCTCCATATGTAACATACTGCTAAATAACACAGTGTGAATGAATGTCAAAGAATTGTTTTACTTTCCATAAAGCAATTAAATTTTAGGAATGATCAGCCTTTTCCAATTCTTTATAATATATGTCTTGTTTAACCCAACACTGACGGGCCATGCCTATCGGTGTCATAACAAACCGCTCAGCCTGCGGGGTACGGCTGTATGTGTGGCAACGCCCCAGAGTGCGTGGAGCGGGATGTTCGGCATGGTGTAGCGAACTCCCACACCCCGTGTTTGCTTGTTGCCACTAATCTACAGAGTTTAAAATTTTCATTTAATTTTTCACGCGGCAGTGTTGGGTTAAGAAAATTTACATATTCCTTCTGAAGTATATAAAATGGTTCTTGTATCCTTACAGACCAAGAGGGTCCTGTGCCAGAGTACCATCTGCCATTTGAAGAAGAGGTTGGGCAGCACCCCACCTTAGATGACATGCAGGAGTGTGTTGTTGCTCAGAAAGCACGTCCTGCAATTCGTGACTGTTGGCGAAAGAATCCGGTGGGTGAAAAAGAAGTAGTTTACACTGGTGTACAAATGTTTCTTTATTTGATGTACCATCAGTTGAATGTCATAGTTCATATCATTATGAGATTAACAATATGATAGATATTAGTGTAAAGTAAGCTGTTGCTTAACCCATTGGATCCAGGTGCCTCGCTGCCTGCACATGGCACAAAATCCAAGGAATAAACTTACCCGAGTGGCGACTCACAAGGACACTTGTTTCAAAACTCTATGCCTCCCCTTTTCATTGTTATCATCTCTCTTTCTACATTTTCTGTTTTTTTTTTTCTATTTTATTAGGTCCTTATTTGTTATTTGATATGGTGTATCAGTATGGTAATAAATCATTTCTGTAGGTAGCCTATAACTCTGCAATAACAGTAACAATAAGTGACAGCTTGTTATATTTGTCATTTTAAAGACAGCTTTCTGTGACACACCCTGCACTGCTGGTCATAGAGCTTGGAAATAATATACTACAATGAGCTGGCACTCTAGCAGTCATGGTTCACAGATGGTACATTCCACTCTTGGTTACTGGTGGAAATAATGCAAGAGCTCCTTCCTCAGTCGTAATTTTCCATGTTGGCATATTCTGATTACCCAGCCATTGGCCACGTTATACAGTATGCATAAATGCTAGTTTTTCATATTGTGAATGGATGAAGAGATGATAAATTGAATAACAGTTCAAATCCAGTTGTGCCAAGGTAATTTCCTGTTAACCCCTTCCCGACGGGTGATGCCGATAGGCGTGAAAACAAACCGCTTGAAAGCTGGCATGCGGCTGTATGCCACAGCGGCACGCCAAAGCGCGGCAAGCCAGTGATTCGGGTTGATGTACCGAACTCACGTGCTCAAAGTCGGTGTGCTGCCATTGTTTGCCAGAGCGTAGAGTTTTTTTTTTTTTTTTTTTTTTTTTTTTTATGAGGTCCTTATTTGTTATTTGATATGGTGTATCAGGATGGTAATAAATCATTTCTGTAGGTAGGCTATAACTCTGCAATAACAGTAACAATAAGTGACAGCTTGTTATATTTGTCATTTTAAAGACAGCTTTCTGTGACACACCCTGCACTGCTGGTCATAGAGCTTGGAAATAATATACTGCAATGAGCTGGCACTCTAGCAGTCATGGTTCACAGATGGTACATTCCACTCTTGGTTACTGGTGGAAATAATGCAAGAGCTCCTTCCTCAGTCGTAATTTTCCATGTTGGCATATTCTGATTACCCAGCCATTGGCCACGTTATACAGTATGCATAAATGCTAGTTTTTCATATTGTGAATGGATGAAGAGATGATAAATTGAATAACAGTTCAAATCCAGTTGTGCCAAGGTAATTTCCTGTTAACCCCTTCCCGACGGGTGACGCCGATAGGCGTGAAAACAAACTGCTTGAAAGCTGGCATGCGGCTGTACGCCACGGCGGCACGCCAAAGCGCGGCAAGCCAGTGATTCGGGTTGATGTACCGAACTCACGTGCTCAAAGTCGGTGTGCTGCCATTGTTTGCCAGAGCGTAGAGTTTTTTTTTTTTTTTTTTTTTTTTTTCTTCACCCGTCACCATTGGGTTAATGTACATGTATATGCATATGTATACTTTTTTCCTTACTGATATCTTGAGAGTCTCAATACCCTATTTACAACTGATGTCACGTTTACAGCACAGATTAACCCCTTTCGTCATAGCAATCACATGACCAAAAATCGGGGCATTAGGCTGACATGAGCGGCTGCTCTATCAAATAGCGACTTTTAGGCCGCGTGTATGCAAATATGTGTGCAGCAATTAGACTCTGTGCCTCCTATTTGCATTGTTATTTCCTCTTTTTAAACATAATTATTTTCAGCTTTTTTGCCATTTTGCAATGTCCACATTGATTTGCATTATCTAGATGATAATAGACTTTTTCTTTGCACAGACTCCATATCATCTCTCTAGGTAGTCTACAGCTCAGTGCAAGAAAAATTAAAACACACTCACTCACTCACTCTCTCACACACACATACACATACACATACACATACACACTCATATATTATATTATATTTGTGTGTGTGTGTGTGTGTGTATATATATATATATATATATATATTTTATATATATATATATATATATATATATATATATATATATATATATATATATTTTTTTTTTTTTTTTTTTTTTTTTTTTTTTTTTTTTTTTTTCTTCTTTTTTTTTTCAATCTCTCTCTCTCTCTTTCTTTCTTTCTTTTCTGTGTGTATAAATATGTATATGTGGATGTTCATCATTTGTTTCATATTGTCTTGTCTTTTGCTTTCCACAGGGCATGATGGCCTTAGTTGATACCATGGAGGAGTGCTGGGATCATGATGCAGAGGCTCGTCTCTCGGCTTCTTGTGTTGTAGAGAGACTTGCTGTGTATACCCGAAACCAGCACTTTTCCCCTACCTCAAATCCACACAAGGAGTCAAGCATATAAGGTAAAGGATTGGATCGTACTCACTCCTTTTCTCTCTTTCTTTCTTTCTATCATAAGTTACTTTACCTGGGTATGGTCTATTCACTTAACTCTAATAGCTGGAGCCTAGAAACATTTAAAACAAGGCTATTCATTTTTACAGATATATGATTGTATATGTAAATTCTTCAACCTAAGTGTATGCAGTTTAGATTGAATAATTTCTGAATATAAGTAAGATTTTAGAGAAAATCTAATTTGATTTGAAAGGTTTATGAAGTGATGATCAACGTTCAAAGTAATCATCGGGTACAAGCACATCACATACCATTGGCACTTAATTTTATTATTATTTAGATCTTTTCAGTCTCTATTGGTCACTATAATTTGGAGTATACAGTGTCTAGTAAACATTATTCCTGAAATGTTATGCCATCTAATATTTAATTTGTTTATGACAGAGAAAAATATTATATTGTGTAATGGTAACACAACCAAAGACAGGAAGCTGGTGTGTGCCCCAGCAAATGTTCCAGAGTGGGAATACATTACCCTAAAAAAAAGAAAGAAAAATAATGGCATGGCTAAAACAAAAATAAAAGAAACTACCATTATTATTATTACAACTAATAGTACTAATAATAGTTGTAATAATAGTAGTAATATTAGTAGTAATATTAGTAATCACAGCATAAATGTAGATTTGTACATCCAAAAGTTTTCTCAGACCAGTTATCTTGAAATACATATGTTAAATATTTTGTTAATGTAACCCCTTCCCGACGGGTGACGCCGATAGGCATGAAAACAAACCGCTCGAAAGCTGGCATGCAGCGGGGAGCCAGTGATTTTAGAACTCAAGCGCTCAAAGTCAGCGGTCCGCCATTCTTTTTTTTAATTTTCTTCACCCGTCACCATTGGGTTAAAACTTTCATCTGTAGCATAAGCAACAATATGTTCATGTAAATGCACTACAATCCTGAGGTAAAATGCAGTCATGTGAACATATCAATGCTTATGTTAGAGAGAAAAGTTTAAATTAACAGAAGATTTAATAAAAATATTTTTGGGCAATTGGTATGAGAACACCATTGGATATGCATAACCCTCAAATGATGATCATGATAATGATTATAAAAGAAATGTAATAACAATGATAATAATAACAATGATAATAATAACAATGATAATAATAACAATGATAATAATAATAATGATAATAATAATGATAATGATAATGATGATAATAATAATAGTTCTAATAGTAATAGATAATAATAATAATAATAATAATAGTAATGATAATGATAATGTTGACAATAATGGTAATATTAATGATAATGATAATAATAATAACATTGATGATGATGATTATGATGATAATAATGATCATAATAACAACAATAGTAACATTTAGTTACCATCATCATCATCATAATCATTATTATTATAATCCTCATCATCATTATCATTAACAATATTATCATCATTATTAACATTATAGTTGCTTTTAATGCCATCTAAAGCCACCACTGCTGGGTTGCTAGAATCTAGTGGAAAGTGTTCAGCAGATGTTCCCGTGTCAGTCAGTCATTTCTGTTTGGTAACCAAAGAGACTCCTCATTTCAATGCATTATTCTTACTGGTCACAGCCCCAAGTTTTGTGTTCACCCAGCTAAGAGACTTAAGTGAACAAATTATAGTCAGACTTACTTTACATCCAAGTCTTTACTAGAGTCAAGAAGATTGTCTTAACATTCTCTCTGCAGTAAAGTTGTACAAGGTGATAGTCTTCTTTATTTTTCCATCTTTTCTTTCTTTGTCTTCATCTTTTCGTCTGGGAGGTAGATATGAAATTACCCAATTAGCATTGCAACTTCATAGATGGCCACTAGAGCATAGTGAGCCCAGGTTTTGGTTAACTTGGTGGGTTGGGCTTCCTGAGTGTGGTGGTTAGGATTGCATTGATTATCGATGGACTAAGAAGCAACCTTGATTGAAGACCTGGGGAAATCAGTTGTAGATTATTTAAAGGTTTGTTGAAATTCATTAGAGAATCTTCTGCTAATTATGAACGATATGAATTAATTAACAGAAGAGATAATTGTGTAAGTGTATTTTCAAACCTACTCAAATGTTTCCTTCCTCTTTCAGGCCATTATGTGGTGGCCACGTACCTGGACAAGTACCTGTGCTGTAACCGCCTATTCTGGGTCCTGGTGCGGGACAGACCCCAGCCACCGCGTCCCACAGGCACCAGCTGTGTTGGGGGCCGAGTGTATCATGTAACTGCCTCAGTCCCCCCTCTCCCCCTTTTCCCAACTTTTAATCTGTACACCACAGCCATTAACTACAGTTGCAGCTTCTCTTGACTAAGCAAAGTCTAGCCAGTCTAAGAAGATTGGTCTTTGGGGACTATTCCTAGAGAATGTACTCATCCTTTGTGGGTACATCAAGCTTGGTACTGGCGGGTGAGAGGCTGTGTGAGTCAGATATGTCTTCCTGTAACTGATTAGTGCAATAGTTTGATATCCTTGGCGGTGCTTCAGATGCATTTCCCCCCCTTCCCGTATGAAAGAACTGACATAAAATAAAAATGAATTTTTCAAAGTCCAGTGTGTCCAACCATCTCTTTTGTTTGGCTGGTTTGGTGTTGGGTGAGGGGGGAGACTGAGTGTGGTGCCAAAGGGGTCAACAGGGAAGTGCTCGGACTGCTAAGAAAGGCCACCTGAAAGGAAGGTAACTCATGAGAACTTTCTCCCTGGCTGTTACAATATTCTCTGGGGCACTCGTCATCATCATCATCAAACATCCTCGTGACTCGAAGCATTTTATTGTCTTAATGTTATATTATTCCAAACCAAGAGTTACATGCAAGCATCTACATGTGAAAAAGAAGAAAAAGAAGAATAGGCATCTACAAGATGGTAATGGCAAGATTTGGAGTTAGGTTTACTGAAAAATTACTTTAAGTTATGTAGAAATGAAACTTAAAAAAGGAAAAAGATTAAAAAGAAAATATTGCTCTATTGAACAATAGGAGACAGAGTATGGAGCTGAATAGCAGCTAACTTCTCAGGAAAATGGATGGAATTCCAGTGTGTGTCGAATGACCTTTTAGAAAATGTTATTGCTGTTTGCATTCAACTTGCTGAATTGAAGGAAACAAAATATTCTTAATGGATTGGCAGTAGCTGCCCACCTTGGGAATGTTTGACCTCAGGAATGCCCTTCCAAGAGTCCCTACTGCCAGAGTTAGTTCCTTGAGTTGAGTACCGACAAGGTGGGGTTTATTGTACTATGTAAGTACTTCTTGGGAATGCTCCCAGTTTTATGGTTCTGCATTTTCTTAATCTGAATGTGTCTAGTTCTGTGCATTGAAACTGTGGAGTGGATGCTGTGTTATGATAGTAATATTTACAGTTTGTTGGCATATGTTCTTTAAAAAACAAAAAAAATAAAAAATAAAAAAAAAATCATAAAAATCATAAAAAAATAAGACTTGGTTTTTAGAGCTAAGATCAGCATACTTTGCATCCAGCCATTCAATTTTGCAGCTCATAGTGCAGCTTCAAGCTCAACTCAGTAACTCAGGCATAAAAATTATGGTTGTGCCCTCCTGGCAAGTGTTTGAGTGTGTGGAAAAAGGGTTTGGGTTTGTCAGTCAACCAATAAGGACACATTTTGGGCATCCATTTTTGGAAATGCAAAAACAAGATAAGTAAAAGTTATATTGGCCTAAGAGCCTATGAATAATGCCATTCAAACAAAGAGAAAATGATTGAAAAAATGAAAAGATGCTAAAAAGTATTTGTGATTCGTGAAAGCATGTAAGAAATAGTTTCAGAATCATTTGAGGAAAGATGAGGGAATAGAATTCAAGAATGTGTCCAGTATTTTTTAGAGGGTAGGCTTTGGAAATATCAAGTGATAACCTTCTAAGCTGGTACAAAAGTCTGACGACCCTGCCCAGTAAAATCAGTTCTCTAAGGCCAGCAGAGGGCCACGATTGGGCTGCCTCTTTACCGTCAGCTCAGGATACCCTTCAGTGACCACCCTGTTACCACTTTGCCCCCACACACATACATACCCTCATACTGTAAATATTTGCGCCTTGTTTGTAGCATTACAGAAGTTGTCGCCAGCAAAACGGAACTAGTGATTATTTTAATGTGGTTTATTTGTGAAACCAATGGTGCTTTTTTTCTTCTATCTCCAAGATGAATGTTAACTGTTGTATAATGAAGAAGCCAACTTGAGTGAGGACACTGGCACATTGCCCACTCAGCATTGTAAATACCTCATGCCTGTACACAGCCTCATGACCTTTGGCCTCCAGACCTCACCATGACAGATCATGAGTGCTTTTGTTCTAATTGCTGTTGCCTCTTGCTTGAGGATGAGAAGCAGTTTTATCACCAGTTGCCTGGAAACTAAGAAGCTGGGAAAATGTTTACAATTGGACTGAAGGAAGAAGGAATTTTAGAATATGAAAAATATTGAAGAGGGAGCTATGATTAGAATCAACTTGGGTTTTAAGTTTCTAGTTGAGGATTGCAAAAAGTGACCGTTTTCAGAAATTTTCTATTTAAAAAATTATAAGAAAATATGTTTGTAAGTTTGATTGGAAAGAAAATACACATGTTGATATTGGCTGTGTTAACCGAGGCTGTAATTCTAATAATATTGCTGTCTAGCCTGAGGCTATGGTGTAATAAGAACACAGAGCTAAAGAAAATGGTTGTGAGGACTGGAGCCGTCATGTGATAGACTGGATACGTATGGGGACTCGTGGGCACCTGGCTTGTGTCCGAGGAAACCCACTTAAATTTGTCATCAAGACGAAGAATAATTGTGTATGGGGAATATTGCTTTCATATTCTCTCTCTCTCTCTCTCTCTCTCTCTCTCTCTCTCTCTCTCTCTCTCTCTCTCTCTCTCTCTCTCTCTCTCTCTCTATCTCTCTCTCTCTCTCTCTCTCTCCCTCTCTCCCTCTCTCCCTCTCTCCCCCCTCTCCCTCCCTCCCTCCCTCCCTCCCTCCCTCCTTCCCTCCTTCCCTTTTTGCCTCCCTTTTCCCCTCTCTCCCTCCTGCCCCCCTCCCCTTATCCTTCTATCCTCTTATCCCTCCCTCTTTACCTACCCTTCCTTCTTTTCCTTCTCCTTTCCCCCTTCTACCTTCCCCCTTTCATCCCCTCTTCCCTTTTCTTGTCTTTTCTTTCTCCATTCTTCTCTCAAAAAAGTTTTGTTTAACAAAAGTTAGGGAAACCCCCATGCTTTGTCGTTCCTTGCAGGCACTAGCATGCCTCTTGTATGTATCCATGTAGTAGCATAAAATTCATTACTATAAAGTTATTCCCTATAATATATTTGAGGTGAAATGCTGGACCAGGTCTATGAGGTGAGCTTAGTACAGTTGAACTCGGATTATTAATAAAAAGTGTGGATCACTGTTGATTACAGGGAAAGGAAAATTACTCACGAATAGAGCCTCACTAACAGATCCTGATAGGACAATTGATCAAAATTTTACTTAAGCTGTAGTTCCTTTTACTGAATAACAGCAGAAACTTTGGTAAGCGTCCAGTTTCATCCAACCATCTTACACCCCCATAGAGTTTCAGCAAATCCAATTTTAAGTTATTTTAGTGTTTTTGTTCTGTTTTCCTGTATGTAAATCATGCTAATAACTCCCCAAATTACAGTGAAGCTGACTCTTACACATTTTATTAACTTTGCTGTCAGGGAATACAAGTTCTGTCAACGAATCAAATGCAATGGAAAACGGCAGCATAACAGTGTTAAACTACAAAGGAAGATTCATTTCCCAAAAGTTGGAGGCTGGATGAAACTGGAAATTTACCAAAATTTTATATTGCATTTGGCTGGAGCCCTTAAACCATGTTAGCTAATGAGTGTGGTTTGGAATATAGAGCAAGGTAGACAATGCAAAGTAGTTATTGATTGTAGTATTACTAATAGAAAGCAGGTATAATCGCAGTATGTGCTTTTTTCTTGGGCAGATGTAACTTTTCCTGAGTGGAAAGGGGTTAGTGGATTTGAAGTGTTCTACTGTAGAGTAATTTTCCTTTGCCAATAGTAACCATGAAATACTCAGAAATACTCACATGATCAACAGCACGAGGTAAAGCACATGAGTTAATCAAGCAAAGGCAATATTCAAATTATTCATTCATTCAGTGACAGTTTTAGATAGAGTATTGATTGTTAAAAATTCATAAATATATTGTCTACTGCCAAAGTGATTTTGGTAAGAATGAGTGTATTATGATATAAGGACGAGGTATTATATGATATGGTTTACATCTTTTCATAGTTGTATATGTGATGCAGTTGTCTTGTAGATGATCTTCAGATACCCTCAGGTGGACTAGGGACTTACAATTTTTCCTTTTATAAGGCAATGACTCAGTCTTTTTAGTTTTTACTTTTTTAATGCAGTGATGAAATTTGTTTGTTGCTTTTGCATGGCTAACACTGTTTGAAAAATATTATGTGTATATCAGTATATTAAGAATACACATATTCATTCACACTCATACTCTCACTCTTACTCACACTTGGTCTACCACATCCCCCTCACTCCCATCTATTCACACTCAAATATTATCTCTCTCTCTTTCTCTTTCTTTCTTTCTTTCTTTCTTTCTTTCTTTCTTTTTTTATATCTAGCCTTCCTTTCTTCCTCTCCCTCTTTTCACTAACACACTCTCCTTCTACACCTATACCCTTCCCCTGCTCTTCTCCTTTCTCCCTTCCTCTCTTTTGCTATCCTTCTCCCTCCACTCCCTCTTACCATCCTCCCTAAGTATGCCTGTATAAGTATAAACACAGCAATTGTACTTCTGTGTATTGGTCTTTTATGTTGAAAATTAAAAAGGGCTGATGTTTCTTTTTATCTTTCTCTTGTTTTCTTTTCAAAAGGAGGTAATGAACAAAATGCAACAAGTATGAAAAGAATCCGGGTTCTATTGTACAGAAGCCACTTAAAAAGTACACATACGGAACATTTCAGGAGAAAGTGGTTGTTAGGAAGCCTGACCCCAAGTGTGAGTGAAGAGGAGGGATAAGTGTTCTTCAGTGGGTGACACTTGTATTTATCTGTACTCTGACATTATCTATCTATATATATATATGAAATATAAGTATGTATGTATGTATGCATATGCATATATTCATGTATACATATATATATATATATATATATATATATATATATATATATATATATATATATATATATATATATATATATATATATATATGCATATATATTCATATATACATGTATATTCATATATACATATATACATATATACATATATACATATATACATATATACATATATACATATATACATATATACATATATGCATGTCCAAGGGGGGGCTCAGGCCAATTGTCTAACAGTACATTATTAAATGTATTGTCAATGTAAACCTTCATCTATAGAATGAAAATATATATATATTAAATTCACTGTACTCTGTCTCATGATTGTTGTGATGATATTATTGTTTTAAGTTATAGATAAAAGGCTAGATTGACAAAATGTTTATTAGATTTAATTGGTCTGAGGCCCCCTTTGGATGGACATGCCTCATGTGTGTATATGCATGTATGTGTGTGTGTGTGTACACACACACACACACACACACACACACACACACACACACACACACACACACACACACACACACACACACACACACACACACACACACACACACACACACACACACACATACATACATACATACATACATATATATATATACAAATATATGTATATACATTTACAGATATATATTTATGTATATATTCATATATATACATGTATATGTATATGTTTATGTATATTTATGTATATGT